ATAGATTATATTGGGCTTCTAAGGTTAATTATCACAAGTGCCAAAAGGACCTTGCTTATCAAAAGGTTGCCAACAGCTGCTTGAGATTATTGTTTATGTAAGACGTCACCTCGAAGCCAGGACAGAAGTTAGCGTTTTAGCGGAAAATTTTGAATACGAATTTTATTTTTTTAAATTATGTTAGAAAGATTTATTTATATATATATATATTTTAATATATTTCAAGTATATCTATAAAATAAAAATATTTAAAAAATCGTCTAAACACCTATTAATTATATTTGTTATTGTCTGCGTCTACACCTACATCACTAATGAGGGGGTGCGCATCACGACGCCGGACCCGGCTACCATAGATGTCGGGTGCGGCGCGGCGCCTCGAACACTTAGACGACGCACGCAAGCTAAAGCTGACTATACGACGCGACATATTATATACATATTGAGATTTTTTCTCAATTTACAGTCCGTTTTAAAGTCTTTTTTTTTCTGTCTTCAAATAGTCTCAAACAGTTGTTGTTTAATATTTGGTAAAGTATTTTTTTAAGTAGAATAACTATGTATACATCATGTTTATGTTTGCATATAGAACTTATATTCAGCTGCACTACATTCAGTTGCATTGGAATTAATATTTGAATAATACGTCTACAAAAACTCAATGAAAGTGATCATGAGTTCATTCAAACGGAGATTAATTTCCTACTTTTGAAAACGTAGTCTAAGGTATCAAAGTAAGTTATTAAAATAATATAAAAAGTAATTTATTGAAGCCATTGTCAGACATGTGGTCAAAAAACACAAATAAGCTACAAAATCGCAAAATATGGCACATACATTTGTGAATTTACGCAAAGTTTGAACACACCTTTGTAATTTGCCATTTTTTAAACTAAGATAAGTTACTAAATCTTATATTCATAATAAAATTATCTTAATAAAAATTTAACAATCAAAAAGAAATGAACAGCAAGGTTATAATTTTAAATTTCAAAAACACAAAGACACGTACAGTTATTATACTATCGCTAACGAAATTGTAGTCGTCACTAATAGATTGACTTCTTACTCAAAGTACTCTAGAAATTATTTTTATTGAAATACTATATTACTTATTAAGTACCTACAGTAGTCACGCTCTCGTAAATATAGTTGAAATATAGTTGAGCGAAGCCATGGCTCGCTCATGCGCCAAGCTCATCAACAGGTGTTGCCAATGGGGATGGGCTACATAATTAGTCCATTTTCTTTTATTTGGAATAATCTATACTGATTTGTCCATGAGTATGTATGACTTGGCAACCGGCTTATTAATCAGTAATCGAAAATTATCTGTCTTGTTATTTCTAATATTGTTATGGAAAGTGACTTCATGGTTTATTATATTAAGTTACATTCCAATAAGTGTGAAATGAAACAAGGAGAAAAAAAGCAGCCTCTACTGAGTTTCTTGCTGGTTCCTCTCAGTACAATGTCACTCCCTGTAGTTTAGCGAATCATTGGCACAGTTTTCGATTTTCACCAGTACTATGTAACAGCCTAGACTGAATTGGTTTTGACATTTATATAAATATCATTTTGGGAACAGAATTTAGCTAGTTTTTTATGTCACAATAAAAAAACAAGCTGAATTGTGCTCTCCGCTTTTTGTTCTTCATTATAAACCTGAATTCGGATGAATCTAGTCAATTGACGCCTACTCGGCGAAGGCACCAGGGGTGCGAAGAATCCCCGGGCGGCAAAGATCCCCCGTCAAACGACCTTGGCCCTGGCAACCTACAACGCACGCACACTGCGGACCGAGGAGAAGCTGCTGGAACTAGAGAAGGAATTGGGCAGGATTCGTTGGAGTATTGTAGGATTATCCGAAGTCCGAAGAGAGGGCGAGGACACGATGATCCTTAAATCCGGTAACCTGCTCTATTTCCGGGAGGGCGAAGATCTGTCCCAAGGTGGTGTCGGGTTTATCGTCCACAAGTCTATCGTGAACAATATTGTACAGATCGGAAGTGTATCGAATAGGGTGGCGTACCTTATACTCAGAATCACCGCACGGTATTCGCTGAAGGTCATACAAGTTTACGCCCCGACCTCGACGCACCCCGACGAGGAAGTGGAAGCCACGTATGAGGACATTTCCCGGGCAATACATGGTTCCACGACCCACTACACTGTTGTCATGGGAGACTTCAACGCAAGGCTAGGCAAGCGTGGCGATGAGGAATTGAAGGTGGGGCAATTTGGATCTGGGATCCGGAATCACCGTGGTCAAATGCTAGCCGACTACATGGAGAGGGAAGGACTCTATATGATGAACTCCTTCTTCAAAAAACGGTTGCATCGAAAGTGGACCTGGAAGAGTCCGGATGGTGTGACAAAAAGCGAGATCGACTTCATCATGTCGACTAAGACTCGGATATTTAATGACGTCACAGTGATCAATTCGTTTAATACGGGAAGCTATCACCGTATGGTAAGAGGCGCATTGAATCTAAATGTAAAAGCTGAACGGTATCGACTGGTGAAGTCTACACTCCGTCCTGAAGCCACCCAGATCCGGGACCCCGAACACTTTCAGCTCGAACTTCAAAACCGCTTCGATTGCCTGGAGAGCTGCTCGGATGTGGACAAGTGACAGGGTCGTAGAAGCTGTCCTTACGGTGGGTTCAAAATTTCTTAGACCTCACCGTACTCAAAAAAGAAGCAAGATCTCGGAGCAGACAAGCAAGCTAATGGAAAAAAGGCGTGAAATGGTTCTGCAGTATTCTGAGGATACTCGTCGGCAATTCAATAGACAGATCTCGAAGTCTCTCACACGCGACATACGCCAATTTAATACTCAATGTATTAAGGAGGCGTTTGAGCGGAATAAAGGCTCCAAAGTGTTCGCTAGAGATCTGTCTCTCGGACAAAGCTTGCTGACGAAGCTAAAGACAGAGGACGGCAGAGTCGTTACATCCCGTCCTGAGCTTGTGGCGGAGATCGAACGCTTCTATGGACAGTTATACACAACATCACAGGAACCTGTCATTGAGGCTACAGACCCTAGAGCCAAATTAACCCGACATTATACCGAAGACATCTCGGACGTCACTCTATACGAGATTAGTGTGGCTCTCAAACAGCTCAAGAACAACAAGGCGCCAGGGCATGATGGAATCACAGCGGAACTTCTGAAAGCGGGTGGACTACCAGTCCGGAAAGCGCTTCAGAAGCTATTTAATTCCGCCATACTCGAGGGCAAGACGCCGGAAGCATGGCACAGGGGTGTGGTGGTGCTTTTCTTCAAAAAGGGCGACAGGACCCAATTGAAGAATTACAGACCCATCACGCTTCTGAGTCATGTGTACAAGCTGTTTTCGAGAGTCATCACGAATCGTCTCGCACGTAGATTTGACGACTTCCAGCCTCCTGAACAAGCCGGTTTCCGAAAAGGTTACAGTACCATAGACCACATTCATACGCTGCGACAGGTTATACAGAAGACCGAGGAGTATAATCTGCCACTGTGCTTGGCGTTTGTGGACTATGAGAAAGCCTTCGACTCCATCGAGACCTGGGCCGTGCTTAGGTCACTCCAGAGGTGCCAAATAGACTATCGATACATCCAAGTGCTGCAGTCACTGTATGAAAACGCCACCATGACAGTTCGGCTCCAGGACCAAAACTCGAAAGCAATACGACTTCAGCGTGGAGTGAGACAGGGCGACGTTATATCGCCGAAACTGTTCACTGCCGCACTGGAGGACGTGTTTAAGCTTTTGGACTGGAGAGGACTTGGCATCAATATAAACGGCGAGTACATGACGCACCTTCGTTTCGCTGATGATATCGTAGTCATGGCTGAGACCATGGAAGATCTAGGCACAATGCTCGAAGACCTCTGTAGAGTTTCCCAGCAAGTGGGTCTTAAAATGAACATGGAGAAGACAAAAATAATGTCAAACTCCCATGTCGTACCCACTCCAGTGAATGTTGGAGGCTCTACACTGGAAGCTGTCGACGAGTACGTTTACCTGGGACAAATAGTCCGATTAGGTAAGTCCAACTTCCAGAGAGAGGTAAATCGACGGATCCAACTCGGCTGGGCAGCGTTCGGGAAGCTACGCAGTGTATTCTCGGAACATCTACCGCAGTGTCTCAAGACGAAAGTCTTTAATTCGTGCGTGTTGCCAGTGATGACATACGGTACTGAGACGTGGCCGCTTACGATGGGCCTCATAAGGAAGCTCAAAGTCGCCCAGAGGGCAATGGAAAGGGCTATGCTCGGGGTTTCTTTGCGAGATCGAATCAGAAACGATGAGATCCGCAGAAGAACGAAAGTCACCGACATAGCCCAAAGAATTGCGAACCTCAAGTGGCAGTGGGCAGGGCACATCGCTCGCAGGACTGACGGCCGTTGGGGCGGTAAGGTCCTGGAGTGGCGACCGCGTACCGGGAGACGCAGTGTTGGTAGGCCCCCCACAAGGTGGACCGACGATCTGGTAAAGGTCGCGAGAAGCCGCTGGATGCGGGAGGCGCAGGACCGATCGCTTTGGAAATCTTTGGGGGAGGCCTATGTCCAGCAGTTGGCGTCTCTCGGCTGAAGTGATGATGAGTTATGATGATAGTCAATTGAAGTTACGTTAATAAATTGGCTCATCACTAATGTTGACATATAAACCAAACATCATTCCTTTACATGTAACACAATAAATAACTTCAAAATTACTATTCAAATAAATTAAATTAATTTGAAAATAAGATATTATAAGAAACACGAAACGATGTCATGTTTATTTATTTTAGATACTTTACTTTTATTACGTCAGAAACAAACTTTGAATGAATATCATAGACAATTATTCAAAAATTGCTAGTGACATCTAGTTTGATTTCAAGAACTATTTTTTATTTTTTAAATACTTCCTCGTTGCCAATATAAAAAATAGATGAAAAGCACAAGGACAACACTAAAACTTTTTTCAGATGACAACCCAACATTTATACTGTCAAATTTTATTGTCATAAATTTTCAGTCATTCTTTATTTTCGTATTATTGTTACGTGATTAAAATCCCCTAAAAATCAAAATTGATTTCAAAAACAGCAATAGTTTAAGCGCCGCCGATCCATTGTTTCGGCTTTATTAATAAAAATTGCAAGTGATAACGTGTGCAAAGGCCTGCATAAATGAATAATGTCGTTGAGGTCGAAAGCCTTGGCTCTGGTGGAGGTGCTGTTGAGGGTGCCTCCTCTGTTTGTGGTGGATGAGTTCCTAAAGATCAGCTTGGGACTGCCAGTGTCGAGCGGAGAGGAAGTGCCGGTTCTTAGCAACCTTACAATGGATCACATTGACGTCACTGAACCAGATGCGAACTACTATGATGCAAATTTCTACAACGCCTTCATCTTCACATTCCTCAAGTTCCTGATTTGTTGCTTAGGTGAGTAATACAGTCAAAATTGCAACACGACCTACCTTGTTGCCATTTACTTACTCAATATTGTTGCGAAATTTTACTATCACTGTGCAGTGTCACTGCACCAGTTGCTTTTTTATATTAATCTTAATACGTCAAATGTTTCCAAAATATAAATGTTAATAATTTGACAGCAGCCAAAGTAGATTTTTATTGTGATATAATATCTCATGATTAAAGTACCATTTATTTATTTTCAAATTTACCCCTACAAATCATCAAATTTGAGTTTTGCCAGAAGATTTATGTCAGCCAAAAAACTATTTATTTGATTAGCCATATTATTCTAAAACAATGACTATAACTTGTTATTTTGTAAGTAAAAAAATAGGTTTTCCTATAAAATTAAGAGGTCAGGCCATAAAATAATGTAAATATATTCTTTAGACTTAATGTCTTAGTCTCAAAATTTTATGGTAATAGTGCATAAATAAGTCCACTAGGATCAAAATTTAAGAAATAAATATTTTGCAAGTTTCAAAATATATGTAAAATGATTTTTCATTGTCATTTATATAATTATCAATAATTTATTAACTCATTACATGTAAAGAACAAATCTAGTAGTGGTTGTGTAGCTTAACTAAATTATAAATAGTTTAGAATTAATTTTTAAAATATTTAAAATATGATATCTAAATAACTAACCTACAAAAGCATTAGTGCATTTTATCCATAATGAAATGAAATGGAATGAAAATATCTTTATTCAAGTTGAATATACTATGTCTCCAATAAGTACAAAACAGCATACTGAGGGATGTTGTAAATGCTCCCTGGTTCACCAAGAACGATGAAATCCATGCATATTTGAACATGCCAACAGTGGCAGCTGAAATCAAATCGTATTGAAAAAGACACAAGAATCGTCTAAAGAATCACCCAAATCCTCTTATAGTAGAGTTGTTGGACTCATGGAATGTGGTGAAGAGGTTGAAAAGTGACCACATACTTAATTAGTAGTGCAGTAAAAGCAGTGATGACCACTTCACTAAACCAATCTCCATCTACATCAACAAATTCGCTTATGTTCTTGCGGCCGATCGCAAATAGCAATATTAAAAAAAAAGTAGGCTATAGCAAGCACTTTTGAATCTTCCAAAAAAAATTTTTTCCTTTACCACTTGTTCAGGACGTCTTTTAGCTGACAAGAAGAACAAGCGAAAGAAACTTACAAAGACCTGCCATAAGAATTAGAAAAAATATGTTAGCCAGAATAGGGATGATGACTGGGTAAAAAAAAAGTCAGATAATAGAAAAATATTAGATACATATTTTTTTTTAGGCATTAAAGTTGAGGAGTGGGGGCTTGCTAAGTCACAGTTGAGTAGAAAACGTACTCTAACGTGATGTCATGCGAAATTTCAACTCAATGTAACGCCGTAATTTTATGATTACGAAAAAAATAAAAAAATATGTGTTTAATATTTTTTAACACTACCTGACAGACAAACAAACAAAAATTAGTCATCATCCCTATTGTCTCTCAGATTAGTAATTAAGGATTGATTGTAAGATTTATTATACAAGGAATTATTTAATCATAAGAAAACAAAATTTCTTATTAATTAGTAAATTGCTAAATTTTCATTCATTTTTTTTATAATAAAATTAATTAATTTCAATGAATAAATCAATTTTGGCATAAAATGGTTTAATTTCAAAGAAAATATAATGTTTGCATAAAATATTCCATCTTTAGACAGTATTTTGTTATCCATTACCACCTCCTCCTCAAGTCGGTCCCTCAGTGCTGAGGATCGTGGCTTCAACAGAAGCGTTGGATCTCTCCATTTACAGTAGTCTTCTGATTGATAAGGAGCCTGGGATATAAGCATTTGTATCATTCTGATATCCATTACCACAATGTCTTTATTTATATAAGTGTATATTAACAAAAAAATTCATTAGTTTGTTTACTATGATAGTCTTACAACACAATAAAACAATAAATTTTATGAGTCAAACAGGAATGTCTATCTATTATATTGTATGGTTTGGAATATATTAGTAATTATTTTTAAACTAAGTATTAATAAATATCCAAATACAAATATTCAATATGGTTTTGACTAATGTTTTGAGGAGTCTATGTTTGAATATAATATATATAAGATATCCAAATATTGTTGCTTTCAACTATAATATCAATAAGAAGTTATTATTACTGCAATCTTCATAAGATATGTTGTAGAAATAAGTCACCGAGTAAAAAAAAGCTTACCACCAAGGTTGATAGATGAACTTGATAGATAACTAAAAAGTATAAAATAAAAATAAAGAAAAACAAAAAACCCAACTGAGTAAAAACGAATTTAAAAAAATACATCAAGAAATTAACTTAAATAATAACTAAAAAGAAAGAAACAAGCCCAGTAGTTTAGTAGTTTTTGCAGTCTAGTGACAGGCACTGGTAATTTATTTTTATTTCTTGTATTAAAATTGTGTACAATCACTTTTTATAGAAAACAAACTAATATTTTTACGTACGTACATTAAGTTCTCGTACATGTACTGAGAAGCAACAGTCATTATGTCTATTTCCTTAAATTTCTCCCTTAAAGAGTCCCTAATCCTAAGATTATAAATTGATCTAATTGCTCTTTTCTGAAGCACAAAAATCGTTTGTATGTCGGCAACATTTCCCCACAATAGGATTCCGTACGACATTACGCTATGAAAGTAACTGAAGTATACTAACCTGGCAGTATCTATGTCAGTTCTCTATCTATCTATGAGAATTTATTAACATGTGGGCCCCACTGTAGTTTAGAATTTAATGTTATTCCTAAAAATACTATGGTATTCACAAGACTCATGTTCTTATCTTTTATATTCACATTTATTATTTAATATTAGGTAGTACAAATTTTAAGCATTTTGTTTTTCCTTCATTAAGGAGAAGATTATTTACATGAAACCAATGTACTACTTTAGCGATAGAATTGTTCACATCGTCCTTTATAGGTAACCCTCTTAATTTTAAACAAAAGTGAAGTGTCATCCGCAAACAAAACTATTTCGTGATCATCCCTTACGAAATAAGGCAAGTCATTTATGTAAATCAAAAACAAAAAAGGAGCAAGTATTGAGCCCTGGAGAACACCCATCTTAACTTTCGATCCAGGGGAATTTTTGCCATTGATATCAACCCTCTGTACTCTGTCAGTCAAGTATGAGCCAATAAAATCCAATGAGTTATCTCTATATCCATAAAAATGAAGTTTCCTAATCAATGTTTCATGAAAAACACAATCAAATTTCTAGATAGGTAACAGAAAACACCTAACGCATCATGTAAATCCTCCCAGACATTAAAAATTTCATGTATTAACTTTACACCGGCTTCGGTTGTTGAGCGACCCCTTGTAAAACCAAATTGTTGTCGATTCATAAAGTTATTCTTGTAAGAGTAAACATATGTAGCACGGATATAGGTCTAAAGTTAGTAGGGTCAGATTTGCTACCCGATTTATGTAAAGGAATAATTGTAGTATATTTCATGAACTCAGGAAAAATACCACAATCAATTCTAAATATGTAAGCTAAGTATGGAGCTATTGTCTCAATTATAGATTTGGAAACGTCAATCGAATTACACCCCATACCTAAATCAGCAGTTTGCTTTTTCTTTAGCTGTTTAAGAGATTCTAATATATCTTAAAGATCTATTATTTAAAAATTTTAAAATGTATTGAAACTTGAATTGGCTATTACAGTTATTTAATCTTGCCTTTAAAATAGATAAATAGACAGCAACAGTGGAAGAGGAATTCAAAGATTGTGTTATTAAGACTGGAATTTCAGTAAATAAATTTTCAAATACTGTAGCTTCAAGATGTGGTGTTACTTTTTTACTATCAATGTTTAAATTAAAATTTGTATTTCGGGATTTTTTTTTCCAGTTTCACTATTTATGATATTCCACGTCTTTTATCTTTCATTTATATAAATTTTTGCATTTATATAATTACATTTGGCTAAACGGCACACTTTTTTATATAATTCAGAGTAATTCTTTGAAGTCCTCACTTGTGTGACAATTACGTTCATAATATAATTCATATAGCCTTTTTCTGCTTTTGTAGATTGCTGGTGTAGCCCACACACTAAAAGTTATTGGATTACTAATACTATTTTTGGGTCAAATATGTTATTGTATTCTGTACAATAAACATCAAAGAAATCTTTGTACAAATCATTAACACAGAATATAATTATACATATGTATATATTTTACTGTTCACTGAAACATTACTATTTACATCAATTAATTTGCTTAATATTTTAAACATGCTTTGATCGAATTCTATTTCTATATACAGTTAAAGAATAAATTAAAATCGAACGTAAATCATAAGCATACTTAGGCTTTCCTCAACCTAAACATAGAACATCTGGTTATGTAAACCAACAAAACAAAAACTGATCTGCTATAAAAACATCCTAATCCGGTAATATTAAATCCTTCCTGCACCTCTAATACGGTATCTGTTAGTTTATCTTAATCAAATATAAACCCACTTTTTCAGCATACCCATTAAAAAGAAAAATGCATATAAATAACTATTGATATTTAAAAGTTAATCACAAATTATACTAACTGGCTATTTTCCCCCCACTTCGCCCGCGTAAATTATATGTCACCATTGATGAGTGAGGAAGACATTGCTCTAATAATATTGTACTTTAGGTATATAGTACAATGTTAAAATGCAAGTAGTTGAAATTCTATTGAGATGCGATTATTACGTAAACATTAACAGAATTAGCGTGCTGATTTTTTTTTTATAATCGGTCCACAAATCTTATCTCTTTATAATAAATTAGCGTCGTCATGTGAAATGATACTCTTTTATTTGTATTTTATTTCAGTTATCTGAAATATTGTAAGGTATCTTAACAATAGCATAATAAAACTGACAATAGCAATTAAATAGACATTGCCGCACTCGGGAAATGAT